AACTACCCAATTAGGGGCCGCGTAAAGAGGAGCGTTCCGAAGGCTCTCATTATTGGACGCGGTGAGGCGCATCGACCTGCATAGGTCTAATTATCGCTAACGACCTCTCCCGCGTAAAAAAAGAAAAATATAAAAATACGCGCGCGCACGCACACGCACGCACGCACTCAACGAAAGCCAAAGGTCCATCCGTGGCGGGTAGCGGCACCTACGAAGGCCGGCACGGTGGCGCACACGAGGAGGGAGGGTGGCCAGCACCACGCCCGGCCGCCTTTGTCTCCCAAGTGGCGATGTCTACACACCTACACCAGCTACTCAATTGAGGCTGAGCCGATTGAACGTCAGGCCCAGGACCGGTTCAGATAATCGTCACCGGTGGTGTTGGCCGTGAGCGGGAATCGAACTCGGGTCGCAGCCGGGGGCTTCGTAGCGCAGCGCAGCGCGCTAACCGAAACGCCACCGCTCCCCCCGCACGTATATATACGCGCACGCGCGCACACGTGCGTACACTGGTGCGCGCACATAAAATAAATAAGTAGGCACGAGTCAAAGGGAAGCGTCACAGGCGGCCAGGTGACAAGTGTACCAATTACGAGTTTCCCGAGCGTGGCTAATGTACTCGACAGTCTTGATTAGCAAAAGTAAATCAAAGATTTTTTTTTGGTTCAACTCTCTCTCTCTCGCTTAACGGGGGAAGGGAGAAAAAAAGAAAATTAACACTTTAGAAAAGTCGTTAACGCCACTAACAAAACATCGGGGTGTTTCTCCTTTAATGAACTTTGAGAAAAAAGTTTGAAAACAAAATTTTTTGGTTGCTGCGACTTGGAGGGGGGGGGGGGGGTGGGAAAAGTGGCGAGACGGTGGTGGTGTTTTTGGTGGGGGGGGGGGGGGCGAAGGGGGGGGGGGTGGTGGGCGGCGGGTAGGTGAAAATGTTCGTGAGTTTTTCTTGTTGTTGTTTGCTTGTTTGCTCGTTTGTTGAGATTCAAAAAAGAACAATTGGAGAGTGGGAGGAGAGGCCACGCAACCAGAAGAAGAAGAAAAACAACAAAAACCAGTGGAGTAGGAAGGAAGAAGAAATATAAGAGAATTTTTTTGTTAAAGAGGGTGAACACCAACCTGGTCGTAGCTCTGCGTGAGAGTTTCGTAGAAGAGAACGTAGAATCACACCCCACAGAACACAGTAACCGAGGAATAAACGCACGCACGCACGCGCGCACGCACGCGCACACACACACACACGCACGCGGCACATTCAAGAACACCAAGGATAATCAACGGAAAAGCACAAAAAGAGCACAGAAACGAAACAAAACCAACGGAGAAACAACGCAAGAAAAGGGGAAAAGAAACAACAACAACAAACGGAAACAAAACAGAACCAAAACAACAAAACAGAACCAGAGAGTAAAAACAGCCCGGGTATCCACGGCAACTCACGGCAAAGCAATCGACGCCATCATCATCATCGCCATCATCATCATCATCGCCATCATCATCCATTAATCATCATCATCATCATCGTCATGATCATCATCCGTGAGCGTCGCGCGAGGAGGCAAGAGAGAGAGAGACCACGACGGGACGGAGAAGACGGCGGTAGAGATTGGGGGGGGGGGGGGGGGGGGGACAGCCGCGGAGTGCTGCGCGCACAACGGGAAAGCGGACACACGACACACGCGCGCATGCACGTGCGCACGTACACACACGACAACCACGTGCGCACGTACACACACACACGCACGTACACACACGCGCACACACACGCACGTACGTATACACACACACGCGCACACACGCGTATGTACGCACACTCGCGCACGCACACACACGCACACGCACGCACACGCGCACGCGCACACACATATACGCGCGCACCACCAAGACTCGCACGGCCAAAGCCACGATTAGACGGACGGCACGGCCGTTGATTCATGCGCGGAGGGGGTGGGGGGCGGAACGGAGGGGGGGCACGAACAGCGTCGTAGCGCGACGATTGGTGGCGAAGCGTTCACTTTTAAATTGCCGCCGTACCAGCCCCCCCTGCCCCCCTCGGCCCCCCATTACCACCACCACCACTACCGCCTGACGTGGCTGTGATGGTGGTGGGGGGCGGGGGGGGGGTGCGTGGGACGTGGAAGGGAGCGGGCGCGAGAAATGTTCCATCGCTCCGTCCGGGTCACCGTGCCGCGGGCCACTCACCGTGCCCCCCACCGTGCCCTCCTCTCTCCTGCACCACCACCACCACAACCACCACCACCACCGAATGTTCCGACACAACGCGCCCCCCCCCCCCCCCCACTGCCGGGCGTTATTGGTTTTGGGGATGATTTTTTTTTGGGGGGTTGGGGGGGTGGGCAGACACCCGCTGGTTATGTCTTTTGTCTATTCCCGACGGCTTTAAAGCAACACCAAAGGATGTGAAACGGCGAGAGGTGGCAGCTGTTTCCGTTTTATGTTAACAACAAATATTACGGTGGGGGGGGCGTGGGGGGCGTGGGGGGCGTGGGGGGTGGGGGGGCCGTGCCGACGAGGTGCCGGCTCGTAAACGACGAAGTGACGCCGAGAAGTCGTCGGCGCGACGAGGAAGCCGGCGGTGGTGGTGGCGGCGGTGGTGGCGGTGGTGGCGGTGGGGGAGTGGGGTCGAGACGCGGGGGTCGGGGGGTGTAAAGGAGGTGGTGGAGGGAGGGGGGCGGGCTCATCATCATCATCACCGCCATCGTCGTCGTCGTCGTGTCTACAGGCGGTGTCTTCTCACCTCCAACTCTCAACCTGTCCCAACCAAAGCCACCACCGGCCCCCCTCGCCACCCGCCTGCCCGCCCCCCCCCCCCGACCGTCGTGCCCCCCCCTGCCGCCCCCCCCCCCCCCCCGTGCTGCGAGCGTGAATGCTCCGTGCCAGTCTTGGGATGTGAGCGCGTCGGTCAGGCTGCCGTCGGTGGGTGGGGTAGGTGGGTGGGTTGGGTGCGGTGGGTGGGTGACTTGGGTGGGTGGGTTGGGTGGGGTGTGGTGGGTGGGTGGGTGGGTTGGGTGCGGTGGGTGGGTGCGGTGGGTGGGTTGGGTGGGTGTGGTGGGTGGGTGGGTGGGTGGGTTGGTGGGTGGGTGGGTGCGGTGGGTGGGTTGGGTGGGTGGGTGCAGTGGGTGGGTTGGGTGGGTGTGGTGGGTTGGGTGGGTGTGGTGGGTGGGTTGGGTGGGTGTGGTGGGTGGGTGGGTTGGGTGGGTGGGTTGGGTGGGTGGTGGGTTGGGTGGGTGGGTTGGGTGGGTGTGGTGGGTGGGTGGGTTGGGTAGGTGGGTTGGGTGGGTGTGGTTTGAGTGGGTGGGTGTGGTTTGAGTGGGTGGGTGGGTGTGGTGGGTGCGGTGGGTGGGTGGGTTGGGTGGGTGTGGTGGGTGGCTTGGGTGGGTGTGGTGGGTGGGTGTGGTTTGAGTGGGTGGGTGGGTGTGGTGGGTGCGGTGGGTGGGTGGGTTGGGTGGGTGTGGTGGGTGGCTTGGGTGGGTGGCTTGGGTGAGTGTGGTTTGAGTGGGTGGGTGTGGTGGGTGGGTGCGGTGGGTGAAGGGTCCATCAGATTCTTCCTACCTCCAGGATACACAAAGATTCCGATTCTCAGCCTCTGCCGGGTGCTCTGTGCCACGGGAGCGCGATTCTTCAGGCTTACCCCCCCCCCCGCCCGCCCGCGTACCTCCGATTAGCACGGTTAGCTACGTGCAGTGTGAAAGAAGTTCAACGGACGTACGTCGTTTTTTATCGCGGCGTCTAGACGCGAACGATTTTTTTTCTCTCCGCCTGACCACGACCGCTTGTGTTGCGACCGAAACGTCGTGAGTTTTTATTATTTTAAATCTTTATATTATTATTTTCTTATTTTCTATCTACGTGACTTTACCGAAAGAACCAAAGAATATGAAACGTTATTTTGCACGTCATTTCGTTCATCTCCCCACAAGAAGGTCTTCCTGCACGCGCGGAACCTTGCGGGCCAGATCCTAGTCGTTAAGTGTCGTTTTGCCGGGCGCATTTTTTTGCTCATCATTGACGCGCGCGGCTTTTACGCCCAATCCGGGGCCGCTCGTAACAAATTCCGTTCGCGCGTGAAACTAAACAAATGGACAAAAGCGCTTTGCTCCTGTGCGCTCTCAACGATCGGGAAGTCGCCGAAAACGTCCCGGGGTAAGCCGGGGCATCGCCACCCTAGGTAACAAAACAAAAAGCACGGAGCCTTGAGACTGGGCGGGGCTACACGTCTACGTCACAAGGACGGTCACGTGGGTCGTGCGTCACCAAGAGTGACCGCCGCGCATGGCGCCGCGTGTCTGTACCCTTTCGTGCGTGCGTATATGTGTGTGTGCGTATGTGTGTGTGCGTATGTGTGCGTGCGTGTGTGCGTGCGTGCATGTTCGTATGTGTGCGTGCGTGTGTGTATGTGTGCGTATGTGTGTGTGCGTGCGTGTACGTATGTGTGCGTGCGTGTGTGTGTGTGCGTGTGTGCGTGTGTGCGTGCGTGTGCGTGTGTGTGCGTGCGTGTAGTTGGGGGGGGGGGGTACAGCTGGGTGCATCTTCCCAGTCATCTCAGTCGGTCAACCCGTGGCACCTGCTGGGTCTGCCCCGTGACCTCCTGCCAGCGGTGGGCGTTCAAAGTGCACCTGAGCCTGGCACAGGCGCCGTGGTGACACCAACCGCCACTTGGTGGCGAATGGCGCTTGTGTTTGTTGTTGTTGTTGTGTGCGTGTGTGCGTGCGTGAGTGCGTGGGTGGATGCGTGTGTGTGTGTGCGTGGGTGTGTGGGTCCGTGTGTGTGTGCGTGGGTGCGTGCGTGGGTGGATGCGTGTGTGGGTGCGTGCGTGTGTGCGTGGGTGGATGCGTGTGTGGGTGCGTGCGTGTGTGCGTGGGTGGATGCGTGTGTGCGTGCGTGTGTGTGTGCGTGCGTGCGTGTGTGCGTGCGTGTGCGCGTGTGGGTGCGTGTGTGCGTGTGCGTGCGTGCATGCGTGGGTGCGTTCGCGACTGCCTTACCTCTGACGTACAGGTTGGCCGGTGTTGAGTAAACGGTGCCCAGGCTGTTGGAGGCCACGCATTCGTACTTGCCCTGGTCGAGGTCACGGCTCTTCTCGATCTGCAGTCCACCTGCACACACAACGACAAAGATACCCCCCCCCCCCCGTTAGCCTTTAACAGACAGGTGAGTGGGGGGGGAGCCAAGCGCTGTTTGCCAAGTTAGCAGCGCTGCCTATGAAGGCCGGCGCTGTGGCACACGAGGGGGTGGCTGGCACCACGCCCGGACCGCCTCTGTCTCCCCAGTGGCGACGTTTAACTACGCACCAGCAACCCAGGTTATCTCACTTGAGGCTGAGTCGACCTAGGGGAGGCCCAGGGCCGGTTCAGATAATCGTCACTGATATTGGGAATCGAACTCGGGTCGCCGGGCTCATGGTGCAGTGTGCTCGCCACCGCCACCCCTCGCGACGCGTACACAAAGACACAAACAAAGATCCCCCCCTGTTATAGCCTTCAATAGGCTGTTAGGGCAAGTGCTGTTCACGAGCAGTGTACACAAATGCACAAAGACAAAGATCCCCCCGTATAGCCTTAATAGACTGTTGTGGCAAGTGCTGCCAATGTACACCTATTAAGGGGTGGGGGGTGGACACAACGGACCACGCTTTTAAACGGAAGATCTGTTGTCAAGTAACATTTCTTTTTAGCTTCTTATCTCATCGGATTCCTTCGGGATAACCAAAACAGATTCTCACTCTTGATGAACGCCGCGTTGTCCGGCTTCCGCGGATTGCCGGCGTTCAAGGTGTCCACAGCAGGTCGACATTTTGGGTTGAGGTGACCTTCTCGGGGTGGGAGGGCTGGGTTAGGCCGAGCTGACCTGCGAGTGTGGTGCCAGGCCCCCCGGGGTTCACACATTCTGTTTGTTTTTTTCGATTTAAAGCTTTCGTGACTGCAGGGATTCATCTTCTTGGTTCTTCAGACCTGTTCTTCACCTGAGGACGGCTGCTTGTGTTGTGGCCGAAACGTCGTGAGAATTATTTTATTCAGTTTTATTTGTATTTTATTATTTCCATTCTACGTGACTTTACCGAAAGAACCAAGAAGACATTCTGTTTTGCCTACGGAGGCCACGTGCGACATTGCGTGGCAGGAACCGCTCGGAGGAGGAGGGGAGGAGGTGGTGATGGTGGCGGCTTGGGGAAGACTCTAAACTATTATACAAATACAAATCTAGATTTCGGTAAAGTCACGTAGGTATAAAATAAAATAAATAAAATCACGACGTTTCGATCGCAACACAAGCAATCATCATCAGGTGGGAAAACCGCAGCAATTTTTTTTTTTAGGCTGTTGGGGCAAGTGCTTTCTATATTCATTTTATTTTATTATATCAGGTAAGTGCCACACTGAACGATATGGCTCTTATTTCGATGTAAAGCTTTCGTGACTGCAGGGATTCATCTTGTTGGTTCTTTCGGTAAAGTCACGTAGAAGGAAAATAATAAAATCATAAAAATAAAACATCATAGAATAATTCTCACGACGTTTCGTCCACAACGCAAGCAGCCGTCCTCAGGTGGAGAACAGGTCTGTCATTCAGACTCTGTCCTCTCGACAGACCTGTTCTCCACCTGAGGACGGCTGCTTGCGTTGTGGCCGAAACGTCGTGAGAAATATTTAATTATGTTTAATTTTTTTATTTTATTATTTTCCTTCTACGTGACTTTACCGAAAGAACCAAGAAGATATATGGCTCTTTTTCAGATGCGTACCTGGCTATCACATATGATAGCTCAACGAAAGTGGGATTATCATCATCACCATCATCGCGTGGGCATTCATAGCAGAAGTCAAAGACTCAACGCCGTGACGTTGATTTTAAACGTGGCGGGGAAAAACCGGAGGACCCGGAGAAAAATCAACGCGACCACGTGGAGAGAGAGAGAGAGAGAGACCGCAAACACCAAATATACAGACATTGTCAGGGTCGGAATCGAACTCACGTACACCAGGGAAGGTAGTTAACATCTCCTAGCCACCCTGATGATGATGACAGAGAGAGAGACACGCAAACTCCAAATATACAGCAGCAGGCATCGTCAGGGTCGGGATCAAACCCACGACCCTCCTGTACACCAGGCGAGGTAGTTAACATCTCCTAGCCACCGTGGTTTGATCATGGCTGGCGATGATTGATGAGTGTGACCAGGAATTGAACACGGGTCACGGGGTGATTGTCAACAATTCCATCGTGACCCAACCAAGTAAAGCGGAACGCACGTGAACAGAATCAGAATACAGTAATCCCTCGCCACTTCGCCGTTCAAGTTTCGCGGCCTCAGTGCATCGTGGATTTTTCGAACTGATTTAAAGGCCTCATTATACCTGTGCAGTAAAACCATCATCATCATCATTCATCATCACATTAATCGAACTGCACAGGTCTGTCATCGTCGTCATTGTCATCGTCATTGTCATCGTCATTGTCATCATCGTCGTCGTCGTCATTACTGGAGTCAAGTCTCAAGATACTACTGTCATTGGTGAGTGTAGAACACCATAATACGTATCGTATGAGAGAGAGAGAGTGAATGTATAATATTAAGGTTTTATAATTAAATAGATTTAAGTAAAATATATATATAAAGTATAAATATACATATTTTAAACATTCTGGTACCCACACACACATATACGGAAATTCCTAGGGGGCCAATCCTACTTCGCGGATTTTCACCTATCGCGAGGGGTTCCGGTCCCCATTAACCGCGATAAACGAGGGATCACGGTATACAGCAGCAGGCATCGTCAGGGTCGGGATTGAACCCACGACCTCCTGTACACCAGGCGAGGTAGTCAACATCTCCCAGCCACCGTGATGATGATGAGAGAGACACGCAAACTCCAAATACACAGCAGCAGGCATCGTCAGGGTCGGGATCGAACCCACGACCTCCTGTACACCAGGCGAGGTAGTCAACATCTCCCAGCCACTGTGATGATGATGAGAGAGACACGCAAACTCCAAATATACAGCAGCAGGCATCGTCAGGGTCGGGATCGAACCCACGACCTCCTGTACACCAGGCGAGGTAGTCAACATCTCCCAGCCACCGTGATGATGATGAGAGAGACACGCAAACTCCAAATACACAGCAGCAGGCATCGTCAGGGTCGGGATCGAACCCACGACCTCCTGTACACCAGGCGAGGTAGTCAACATCTCCCAGCCACCGTGATGATGATGAGAGAGACACGCAAACTCCAAATACACAGCAGCAGGCATCGTCAGGGTCGGGATCGAACCCACGACCTCCTGTACACCAGGCGAGGTAGTCAACATCTCCCAGCCACCGTGATGATGATGAGAGAGACACAAAAACTCCAAATATACAGCAGCAGGCATCGTCAGGGTCGGGATCGAACCCACGACCTCCTGTACACCAGGCGAGGTAGTCAACATCTCCTAGCCACCGTGGATTGACCAGGAATTGAACACGGGTCACGGGGTGATTGTCAACATTTCCACCGTGACCCCACGGAGTAAAGTGGAACGCACGTGAACAGAATCAGAATACTGTTTTTCTACTGCAGGAGGAATCCTAGGAGCTATAAAGCTCTTTTTAACACACGTGTCCATTCGAGGGAACTGGGTAAGAAGGTTTCAACAACAAACACGATAGGAGTTCGTAGTACACGAACGGTAAACAAATCGTCCAAACACAAACAAATACAACACTAAGCGATCCACATCCTACCAGGCAAAGCCCCGTTGAGGCATTAAAAATTACTGATTTAAAGCTTTCGTGACTGCAGGGATTCATATTCTTGGTTCATTCGGTAAAGTCACGTAGAAGGGAAATAATAAAATAATAAAAATATAAAACAATAAAAATTCTCACGACGTTTCGACTGCAACGCAAGCAATCGTCATCAGGTGTGAAATCCACGGCAAGAAAATTTTGTTTTATATTTCTATTATTTTATTATTTCCCTTCTACGTGACTTTACCGAAAGAACCAAGAATATTAAAATTATTGTTACAAAAGCACAGTGGATTAGCACAACAATACGCATGCAACGGGCGTAGGGAGAGAGCGGGCGGGGAGGGGGGTGGGTTGTTTCGCTTGTTAATATTCAGCGTCAACTTAGTCGAAATCTATAAATTACCCGGACTTTAATTGAAATGAATAGAGCAAACTTTGAACAAAAATTAAATAAGAGGGAAATAAAAGAAAATTCTAAACCAATATTTATTTTCGCTCTGACTGCCGTGGGAACAGCGCCTTAATTTTGACGTGTTTTTTTTCATCTGTTCGCACGGCCGCTAACAGTTTTAGCAAACAACAAAATGTTTTAAAACTTTCATCGGAATGAGTGCTAATTGTCAGGTATGAAGATGTCAGTTTAAGAGGTAGCCTTTCGCGACCGATATAATGTACGTTTACTCATTAATCACCCCCCGGCCCCACTTAACGCAAGAGCGCAGAAGTGTGGTCACCGCATCTACGAATCTATATAAGGAACGAAACAGGTGGAGACTTCTCCACAAATTTGGCTGTCGCCTGATGAAGCTGGTTGTAATTACTGGCTGAAACGTCGTGCTCAGATTGTAAATGTTGTGGCTTGGCTCTCGAACACACCGGTGTGTTGTACGAGTATACTACACTATACACTACACTATACACTACACTACTATACACTACACACTACACTACTATACACTATACTATACACTACACTATACACTACACTATACACTACTATACACTATACACTACATTACTATACACAATACACTACACTACTATACACAATACACTACACTATACACTACACTACTATACACAATACACTACACTACTATACACTACACATTACACTACTATACACTACACTACTATACACTGCACTATACACTACACTACTATACACTACACTACTATACATTACACTACTATACACAATACACTGCACTATACAATACACTACTATACACTACACTATACACTACACTACTATACACTAGTGCTAGTTGGCTGTGTTGAGTGGTGGCAGGTTTTAACGACACATTTATACATTTACGCGATCTAACCCAATAAAAAAAAACCCCTCTATTATGGATG